CAAAGGATTTGAAATGGTCCTCAGTGACTTAGTTGGCAACTTTCAGTTTGTAAAACTTTCCAGGGACTTCTAGGTGGGAGGGGCTAGAGAGCCAAATGTAGACCTTATTTACTCTCTCTGTGTCTCAACTCCATATTTCACCTTGATCACTGTCCTAGAACGAGTGCTGGCAATGTTTTTTCTATAAAGGACTAGATAGTAAATATATTAGGCTTGTGGTCTTTGTCCCAACTACTCAACTCTGCCACAATTGCTCAACTCTGATGTTATAGATCAACAGCAGCCATAGACCATACATGACAAGCATGGTCTCTGTCCAATAAAACTTATTTCACAAAAATGGGCTGCAAGACCAGATTTGGTCCTCTGTCTTTAGTTTGTTGACCCCTGTCCCACACCATGAGGTCACCTTTGTTCTGGAGGTTTTCGATCCTAAATGTATCTCAACATTGGACTTGGACCCAAAAGAGCAGGTACTTTTCTCTCTGGCTCCGAAAGAGAGAACTTTCGGAGGAAGATGCAAGACCGATGAGAAACATAGGCTTCAGATGATCAGAATGGGAGTTTTTTTGCTTTAGAAACCAGCAAAACCAGCTGCTCTCCCATGGAATTATTTGCATATGGATTTTGTCCTTTATTCAGAGCTCTTTTGTATTTCATCTTAGTAAAATAATTCCCTTATCTTTTTTTAATCCCTCCATTTACTGTCAATTTTTTCTTTTTTCCCTTTATCTTTTAAGAGGTAACTAGAAAGAACAGAATTTCTTTTATTCCATCATGTCTATATCTTTGAAAGTAAACTATTATTTTTCCAAGATTCACTGAGGAGAAGAGATATGCACCGTATATTAACATTTTTTTTTTTTTTAGAGACAGGGTCTTGCTACGTCACCCGGCTGGAGTGAAGTGGTAAGAACATAGCTCACGGAAACTTTGAACTCTTGCACTCAAGGGATCCTCCTGCCCCAGCCTCCAGAGTAGCTGGGACTAGAGGTGCATACCACCATACTTGAGGTTTTTTTTGGTAGAGACAGGGTCTTGCTATGTTGCTCAGGCCAATCTTGAACTCTTGACTACAGTGATCCTCCTGCCTTGGCCTCCCAAAGTGCAGGGATTATAGGAATGAACCACGGTGCCCAGGCACATCACACGTTTATAAGTTCACAAATAACCGCATACTTACGGGGTTGCAAAACGCTGACTCTAACAGGTCATCTCCTTGGCCAGGGAATGTAAAAATAGTTCACTTCTCTAGGCAATAGAGATATCTGCTACCAAAATTGCCCACAAAATCAGGGAGAATAGCACCAGGGTAGCAAGGAAATTTTGAGGAGTGTTAAGTCAGTACTTTATGGCAAAATTTTATGTATTGAATTTTCACTTGATCATTGAGAACTCTGGGTTTGGAAATTTGATGAAGGCAGGAGATATCCCACTCTTACTTCAGGCACTTACAGAGCCTAGTATGTTTATCAGGGGAGGGGTAAGGAAGAGGGGACACACCTAGAATGGGAATAGGACAGACGTGAACAATGATAAAGAATATCTAGAATGGGAATTTTTCACACTCAGGAATAGAATAATTTTTTTTTTGAGTTGGAATCTCACTCTGTTACCCAGGCTTGGAGTGCAGTGGCATATTCCCAGTCACCTCAGCCTTGGCCTGCTGAGCTCAGATGATCCTTCTGCCTCAGCCTTCCAAGTAGCTGGAACTACAGGCCCGTGCCACCATGCCTGGTTAATTTTTTGATTTTATTGTAGAGATGAAGTCTTGCCAAGTTGCCCAGGCTGGTCTCGAACCCGTGGGCTCAGGTAGTCCTCTCACCTCAGCCTCCCAAAGTGGAGACTTTTTTTTTTAGTAGGTGTCTCACTATGTTGCCCAGGCTGGACAGCAGCAGTCTCAACCTGCTGGGCTCAGGCTATCCTCCCACCTCAGCCTTCCAATAGCTGAAACCACAGGTGTGTGCCACCATGCCCAGCTAATTTTTTGATTTATTGTAGAGTCGAGGTCTCACCAATTTGCCCGGGCTGGTCTGGAACCCCTGGACTTAGGCAATTATCTTGCCTCCGCCTCCCAAAGTACTGGAATTACAGGTGTGAGCCACTGCGTGCAGCCAGAATTTCTAATAGATTTGTAGCAAAAATACTTCAGCTTTTTCCTGCTTCCTTCCTACATACTTTGGCTCCCTCTTTCTTTTCTAGCTTACCCTCTTCTTTCATCAGACACACTCTGTGGCTAACTTAAGCCTCAAACCACAACCTTGACAAATTCCAAGTGAATTTTGTCAGCAAGGCCAACACTCCCTTCCCTATGCCCCAACTCTACTCCTGGCGCACACACACTGGGCTCAGGCCCAGGCCTGGGGTTAGTGACAGGGTTGGAGTATGCAGCCCACAAAACTGGTGGCTACAATTTCAGCTTTTACTAGGCTCCAATGGCAGTGAGAGGGAGGGAGAAAGATTGATGGACTGTGTCTGGCCTCTTGTCCTCCTTCAGCTCCAGATGAGCTCTTCTCCCTCTGGCCTTTACCAAGTGACTGGGAAGTTAGATAGTGGCAGTAGCTAACTGCCAGCTGGACTGCACTCCTCCTGTTTCTGCTCCTATTTGCTCCATGGGGGGTCATCTTGGATGGGCTTTCTCCAGACTCCAGAGGGGTGAAGGACAGAAGAGCTATGAATTTCTTCAGTCCCATTCATCACTCCAGAGCCAAATGCCATGGTACTTGCTGCTAATCATATTAGGCTGTCATCATTGTCACCTTTCTGTTGCGCCTGGGATACAACTCAGAGGCTCTGAAACCTTGGACAGAAATCAACAGGTTCCACCTCCTTGTCAGAGTATCACAAGGCATGCGGGTATGGTAGGGGTACTCGGAGGAATTATAAAGCATAATTTTGGTGGCCAGCGTATGGGCAAAACCTGGTAGGGTGTTACCAGAAATTTATAGGAAAAGAAATGAAAAGAGTAATCATGCCGAGGTATCACAGAGCCCACTCTCTAATAACACTGGAGGAGTCTCTTGCCTTTAAAAACACAGTACTAGCCGGGCTCGGTGGCTCAGCCTGTAATCCCGTGCCTTTGGGTGACTGAGGTGAGTGGATTGCCTGAGCCTGCGGGTTCGAGACCCGCCTGGGCAACTTGGCGAGACCTCATCTCTACAGTAAATCAAAAATTAGTCGGGCATGGTAGCGTGCACCTGTAGTTCCAGCTACTTGGAAGGCTGAGGCGGAAGGATCGCCGGAGCCCAGCAGGTCGAGGCTGTGGTGGCCGGGAGCGGCCACTGCACTCCAGTCTGGGTGACAGAGTGAGACTCCAACTCAAAAAATAAATAAATAAATAAATAAATAAAAACACAGTACTGGGCCAGCTGCAGTGGCTCACGTCTGAAAGTTCAGCACTTTGGGAGGCCAAGGCAGGAGGATTGCTTGAGCCCAGGAGTTCGAGACCAGCCTGGACAACATAGCAAGACCTGCAAGCAGGGTGTGGTCCTGCAAGCATCTGTAGTCCCATCTACCAGAGGCTGAGGTGAAAGGATTGCCTGAGCCCAGGAGGTCAAGGCTGCAGTGAGTCATGATCATGCCACTGCACTCCAGCCTAGACAGCAAAGTGAGACTCCAACTGAAAAAAGCTCAAAAACCAAATAACCAAAACAAATAAATTTTAAAAACCACAGAGCTGGCCAGGCATGGTGGCTGACACCTGTAATTCCAGCAGTTTGGAAGGCTGAGGTTAGAAGATCTCTTAAAGCTGGGAGTTTGAGATCAGCATGGTCAACATAGTGGACCCTATCTCTAAAAAAAAAAAAAAAAAAATTTTTTTTTTTAATTAGCCACATGGTACATGCCTGTATAGTACCAGCTACTCAAGAGGCTGAGGTGGGAGGACAGTTTGAGTCCAGGAATTCAAGGCTACAGTGAGCTATGATTGCACCACTGCATTCCAGCCTGAGTGACAGAGCAAGACCCTGTCTCAAAAAAAGAAATAGACATGGTGGGCGATGTGTGGTGGCTCAAGCCTGTAACCCCAGCACTTTGGGAGGCTGAGGTGATTGCCTGAGCCCACGGGTCCCAGAACAGCCTGGGCAACTTGGTGAGACCTCATCTCTACAATAAATCAAAAAATTAGCCAAAAAAAATTACAGAGCGAGTATCTGTAGTTCCAGCTACTTGGAAGGCTGAGGAGCAAGGGTCACCTGAGCCCAGCAGGTCAACACTGGGGTGACCGTGAGTGTGCCACTGCACTCCAGCTTGGATGTCGACAGAGTGAGACTCCAACTCAAAAAAAAAAAAGAAAAGAAATAGATATGGTGGCGCATACCTGTAGTTCCAGCTACTTGGAAGGCTGAGGCAGAAGGATCACCTGAGCCCAGCAGGTCGAGGCTGTGGTAGCCGTGAGTGTGCTACTGCACTCCAGCCCAAGCAACAGAGTGAGACTCCAATAAGGAAAGAGAGAGAGAGAGAGAGAGAGAGAGAGAGAAAGAAAGAAAGAAAAAGAAACAAAGAAAGAAAGAAATAAAAACACAGAGTTGCCTGGCATGGTGGTACACCTATAGTTTCAGCTATTTGGGAGGCTGAGGCAGAAGGATTGCTTCAGCCCAGGAGTTTGAGGCTGCAGTGAGCTATGATTGCTCCTGTGAATAGCCACTGCACTCCAGCCTCGGCAACACAGCCAGATCCCGTCTCTAAAAAAGAATAGAGCTTCACAGGACAAAGGCCCTTCATAATAGGACAGATATAACCCTCTTTGTTGTAAGCAGGTTCCTTGTTATCCATCCACATCATCTTAAATTAGGGTTCTCTTGGCTTCACATTCTGGGGTCATGTTATTCTTCAGATTAACATAATAGGGAAAACAGACTGGGATAAGGGACTGGTGAGTGAATACATCAGGATTTGATGAGGATGAGGAGATAGAGTGTGGCTATCTACTAGTCTAGTTCTTTTTGGAAGGAGATAAAATATGACAAAAAATTCAGAAGAGCAACAATTTTTGGCTCAAACCTTAGGGAAGAAACACATGTTCCCTTATACTGCTGTAAATGAAGAGAGAGGGCACTTAAATAACTCTTTTTTTTTTGAGTCAGAGTCTCACTCTGTGGCCCAGGCTGGAGTAAGTGGCATGCTCATGACCACCACAGCCTCCACCTGCTATGCTCAGGTGACCCTTCTGCTCCAGCCTTCCAAGCAGTTGAAACCATGCGTGTGCCACTATGTCCAGCTAACTTTAAAAAATTTATTGTAGGCTGGGCATGGTGGCTCATGCCTGTAATCTCAGCACTTTGGGAGGCGGAGGCGAGAGGACTCCCTGAGTCCAGGGGTTTGAGACCAGTCTGGGCAACTTGGCCAGACTTCGTCTCTACAATTTATCAAAAAATTAGCCAGGCGTGTTGGTGCGTGCCTGTGTCCTTCTATCACAGCTGTGACTGTATGAAAGCAGATTTGCCCATCTAGACTAGGTGCAAGAGTGTGAGGGAAGTGGGGATGGGTAGGAAGCAAGAAACTTGGGTGCGAAAATCCATACCCATCCAGGTACACGTCCTTAAGCCACACCTCCAACTTCCTAACTGATCCAGGGTCCAGCAATTTCCTTTTGTCTTAAATTCATCACTCTCCCTGCTCTTCCTCCTGGGAAAGGATCTCTTGATTTGGACTCTGGAGTCATCTTGTTTTAGGAATAGGGAGCCGCAACAATGGTGCAGCGAGGACTCTCAGAAGACGGCAGCTAGCCCAGATTAAGAAATAAAGATGAAGTCTGGCGGGCTAAGGCGGACCACAGCAGCGACTGTTCTCCCAGCGCTCCTTGGGCCCCTTGGCTCAGTCTCAGTTTCCGCTGTAGCCAGTACGAGGCCTTGGTCCTTACATTTCGGGCATCAGCCTGGAGCTTGAGATTGTCACCTCAGTCCCCAGTGTCTCATCCCCATTCCCGGGTTCTGCCTCCGCCGCCCACAGCCTCCAGCCCCCACACCGCTCCCGCCCAGACTCCGACTCCAGCGCCCGGCTGCCTGTGCTGCAGCCGCTGCCATGGTGATGGGTCTCGCGAGAACTGCCGCTCGCTGCTGCGCAGGTCTCGCGCGATCGGGGAGGTGGGAAGTATCCTGGGCTGGGGGTGGGGGTGCGCCGCACAGCTCCTGTCGCCGTCGCGGCTTCCGGTGCTAGGTGGAGGGAAGCAAGGAGGGAGCCGGGGAGCGGGCCAGGGGAGCAGCCGCGCCGAAGTCGGCTTGGGGAGCCGGGGGGAGCGGAGCGACAGCCGAGCGGAAGCTGTGGGGCGGAGGCGGCGGCCGCAGCGGCGCAGCTGGGAGCAGGAACAGGTGAGGGGCTGGGGACGGAAGGCGGGTCCCCGTGGAGAAGAGGCTCGGCCGGGGCGAAGGCGGCAGAGGTAGAGCCCCCGGGCCCCGCCAGGCTGTGCCTTCCCACCCGAGAGCTCGGAGAGGGCCTCAGGTCGGCCTCAGGCCCGCCCCCGCGTTTGAAGGACGCGGAGCTGAGGTGGGGGTGGGGGGCGCACACAGGTTTGTCCTCCGCCTCGCACAAGGGGGCGACCTGGGCTGCAGTTGGGTTCTTCTCGCCTGCAGGAGCGGGGCTTTGGAGGGGGCGGGGGAAGAAAGCCGTCTAAGGAGCGGCGAGGCGGGGGCGGTGATCGCTGTTTGTATCTTTTTTTTCTGTGAAAGGACTAGGAATACTGGTCTCTCCTACTCCCTCTCCCTCCCCAACCTCGGCCACGGGAGGCCGGGGAGAAGCCTTGCTGTGGTTACACCCCTTCCCCCCATCGTGGGGCAGGGTTGCGTAGGGGCTTGGGGGCTAGCCAACTGGGCAGGCTGATGGGACACCCCAGGGGCACTATTCTGGTGGAGGTTGAGCTCTCGGCTTTCGGGAACCGCAGGTTGGGAAGAGGGCAGCAGGTGGGGAGAGGGTGGAGAAGAGGCAGGCGAAGGGGGAGGGGGATCTGATCTCACTTGAAGAAGAGAACTGGGGCCTTCCTCCCCCAGGCGAAGCGGGGGCGGTCTCACAGGAGGAGGGAGCATCTTGTCACTGGCCCTGAGTTTGTGTCTTCCAATCCGCTTTCTTTCTTTAGGAAGTACCAGGATTCCCGGAACAGAAAATGGAGCCATTGCTTACGCCAATCCTTTGAGAGGAGGAGGGGGAGGTGGAGTTCCCTGTGAAAACGGGCCACTTGATTAGCAAAGTGGTAGCTGTTATTTTGGGGAGTTCCCTGCTTTCTGGGTTGTATTACTGCGGGTCTTCATCTGTCCAGGCCAGGAAGAGTGTGGTGGTGGAGGTGGAGAAGTGTGGTATGTGGTCAGGAGTGAAAAGAAATAGTGAGGTCATCCGGGTGAGGGAGAAATGAAACCTAAAACCTGTTTCTGCTGCTGTTGGATTGGGTCACCCCTTCTGTGGCATGAAAGTTTTATTGGGAGGAGATATGCTGCAGGAGTCTGATTGCTTGGGTCAGTGCAACGGGACAGAATCTAGTCTCTGCATACCTCCTTTTCTGTCCCCAGTCAGGTAGGTGGTGACAGTCTTGGCTGCCATTTTGTTTTGGGCCTGTTGTTGGGGCAAGTGACTCCACTTGCTATGACTGGTATGGGACAGTGAATTGATCATTGCACATTGGCCCTGAGTTTGAATAACATGCCTGTAAAAGCTCATCCAAAGAAAGAAACTAATCCACTGAGGTTCAGCTTTTTACAGGATAGATAATTGACCTTGGATTTAGCCAGGAAGGGCTCCCAGATATCCCATATTCACATGTCTCCCAGCATAGAATTATTACCTTGCATAGTTGAAATTTGTGTGTATCTAGCTTTTTCAAAGAGATTAAAAGCTTTTGGAGTGCAAGAATTGGATTTTATCTGTTGTCTCCTACAATGTCTACGTACACAGTAGGTACCCATGGTGAGTACAGGATGTAAATGGATAGAACTCAACAAGGTTTCTAACTACATAAGGAAAGGGAAAGAGAGATGGCTTGACTGTCAGTGAAAGTATCTGGAGATAGCTGAGCAAGAGTAGGAGGACCCTTAATAACTGAGAAGTCTTGGTCTTTCCACATTCCTAAGAGCCACAGAATAGGCATAGATAATGGAACTAAGACCCAAAAAGAAAAATATTTCTAGAATATGGAGTCATTATTTACCCAGAATCCCAGATTTCCTGCTTCTCCATTGTGGGCAAAGGGGTCTCTCTATCAGACCTTAGTCCTTCAATTTTTTTTTTTTTTTTTTTGAGTTGGAGTCTCACTCTGTCGCCCAGACTGGAGTGCAGTGGCGTGCTTCCGACCACCACAGCCTTGACCTGCTGGGCCACTGGTGATCCTTCCACCTCAGCCTTCCAAGTGACCGGAACTACAGGTGCGCGCTACCACACCCAGCTAGTTTTTTAAAAAATTTATTGCAGAGACGAGCTCTCGCCAAGTTGGCTGGGCGGGTCTTGAACCCACGGGCTCAGGCAATCCACTCGCCTCAACCTCCCAAAGTGCTGGGATTACAGACTGAGCCACTGAGCCCAACCCCCTCCAAGTTTTATATATGACTTGGGATCCTGGAGATTACCAAGGAGGCACAAATGGTGCCAGTGAATGGTAGCTATACTGAATGCAAGAATAAAGAAGAGCAGATAGTGGGCTGGAAAGTAGAAGGGAAGTGTTGAGTGCACAAGAGTCATATTGTAGTGTGTTTTCATCCACCCTACTCTTTCCACTAGGGTCATGATAAGAGGAAATGGACTCAGAGGACAGAGGGCAGGATTTATTGGTTAGAAGGAGGAACTTCTTTAAAATAAGGTTTTATTTATTTATTTTTATTTATTGTAGAGAGGCGATCTTGCCAAGTTGCCTGCGCTGGTCTCAAACCCACGGGCTCAGGCAGTTCGTTCGCCTCGGCCTCCCAAAGTGCTGGGATTACAAAATGAACCACTGAGCCCAGCCTAAAACCAGGTTTGTTAAAGATGAGTATATAACTGAGGGAAGTTGTGGGATCTGCTTCCCCATATACCTTTAGAAATGGGTGCCAAGGGTGCCAAGCCAGGCACTGTGGCTCATGCCTATAATTTCATCTCAGTACTTTGGAAGGCTGAGGTAAAAGGATTGCCTGAGCCCACAGGTTTGAGAACAGTCTGGACAACTTGGCGAGACCTCATCTCTACAATAAACAAATTAGCCGGGAGTGGTGGTGCATGCCTGTAGTTCCAGCTACTTGGAAGGCTGAGGCGGAAGGATCACCTGAGCCCAGGATGTTGAGGCTGCAGTGGCCGTGAGTGTGCACTGCACTCTAGCCTGGGCAACAGAGTGAGATTCCGACTCAAAAAAAAGAAATGGGTGCCACATATTGTTGTTTGGCTGTCTCACCATTTTTGTTGCAGGTAAATTTAGAGACAGAGTGGGATAGTAATTAAGAGTGGGCTTTGAAATAAGATAAAATTGGATTTGAATCCTGCCTCGGCTTTTACTAGTTGGATATTTCTTGTCTTCTCTTAGCTTCATTTTCTTCATCTGTAAAGAAGGTAACATTAGTACATACCTAATATGGTTGTCGTAATTAATTAAATGAGATAAATATAAAGCATCTAGTATTGTGCAGTACACATAGTAAGCATCAAATAAAATGTGAGCTGCTATTAATAATTCATCATCATAGTAGTAATAATAATATGAACACTAAGGGCTGCCTCAGAGAAAAGGAACTTTACAAAAGAACAACTTGCTGCTTGAGGTGCCTGCGTAGAGGGATGATTGTTACCATGACTCTCTATGTTTGTTGTAGGCTTATGAGCGTTGAAATCTTTTTTCAGCATCAGCCTCACAGAGGCAGCTCTTGCTGCCTGAGTGGGAGGTGAAGCTGGAGCAAAGCAGGGGTCCTGAACCATCAACTTGGATGTAGGATGAGGGAATGGGGGCACAAGAATAGTGTTCATGTTAGAAAAGTCAGTGTGACTTTTAGGTAACGGTTGACTTTACAGAAAAGAGCATCCAGATGACCCCTAGGTCAGGGATTCAGATTCCTGGGTCTGCTTATTTTAGGTCTCAGTGAGGATTTCAGGATCCTCTGTTTCCTGGGCCACTCTTCATTTAGTCATATCTTTTAAAAATGTCTGCCTTTGAGTGTCTGTTTCAGAATATACTGTATTATGGTCCAGAGATTGTGATTTCTGTAATTCTCTGTCTACCATGCCTTCTGTGCTCCAACATCTGACACAAATACAAGTAGAGTGCTAATGAAGCTTTTTGATAGTAATGAAAAGACATGGGGAGCGTTTGGAAAGAGTCCCACAAATGTTTGAAGACTTTGTGTTATAGTCTGGGAAAGAACTAAGGCAGAGGTCCCATGAATGTGTTAGAGCTTTGTCACGAATGTCTGCAAAGAATCTGCCACACTGTATGCTCCAGAAAGGAAATGACTCAAGATTTCAGGGATCCTCCATTATCACCATATTCCTGAAGACCATGACTAGGTGTGGCAGGTCTCCTGGTACCTCTTAATTTTCCTGTAACTGGTGAGTCTAGCATAATCCTTTATTTTATTTTATTTTTCTTATTTAAAAATTTTTTTAAAAATAGAGACAGAGTCTTGCTATGTTGCCCAGGTTAGTCTTGAACTCCTAGCCTGAGGCTCCCAAAGTGCTGGGATTACAGGCATGAGCCACCATGCCTAGCCTCTTTATTAGCATATGCACAGGCATGTCAAGCATGAATGTTTAAAAGCTTTAGCAGCCGGACTCGGTGGCTCAACCTATAATCCCGCGCCTTTGGGAGGCTGAGGTGATGGATTGCCTGAGCCCGTGGGTTCGAGACCCGCCTGGGCAGCGAGACCTCATCTCTACAATAAATCAAAAAATCAGCCGGGCGTGGTAGCGCATGCCTGTAATTCTGGCTACTCAGAAGGCTGAGGCGGAAGGATTGCTAGAGCCCAGCAGGCGAGGCTGCGGTGGCCAGTAGCGGTCACTGCACTCCAGTCTGGGCAACCGAGTGAGACTCCAACTCAAAAAAAAAAAAAAAAAAAAGCTTTAGCATAGCCGGGCTCCGTGACTCAGCCTGTAATCCCGCACCTTTGGGAGGCTGAGGTGAGTGGATTTTTATAATACATCAAAAAATCTGCCGGGCGTGGTAGTGCATGCCTGTAATTCCGGCTACTTGGAATAGTGAGGCGGAAGGATCACCGGAGCCCAGCAGGTCGAGGCTGTGGTGGCTGGGAGTGGCCACACTGCACTCCAGTCTGGGTGACAGAGTGAGACTCCAACTCAAAAAGCTTTAGCATGAACTTAGGATACAGGAGAATATTTGCTCTCTGTTGCAGTGGTTTTTATCCTTTTTATTTTTGCTTTTTTTTTTTTTGAGTTGCAGTCTCACTCTGTCGCTCAGACTGGAGTGCAGTGGCCACTCCCAGC